CGAATGGGCCAGATCCATAACAAGAGTAGTCGTAGATGGTGCAACTGACAATGTCCAACAACGAGGATGCTGCAATTGCCACGTTTCCAAGTGAGGATAATGAGAGTGAGATTGTAGCATGATAGATTTAACACTACCTAGACTGATAATAGCAAGCTGGCTATTCTGGCTGTGCTTCTCGAAGTATGCTCCTCTTCTGCTTCATCGGATGAATTGACTGCTGGAACGTTGTTGTTGTTGTTGTTTGTATGTTGTCTGTTCTTGTTGTTGTTAGTTGATTGTTTGTTGTTGTTGTTGTCGGTGTTGTTGTAGTTGTCTGTTGTTTAGTTGTTGTTGTTGTTGATTGGTGTTGGTGTTGGTGTTGGTGTTTGGGTTGGTGTTGGTGTTGGTGTTGGTGTTGGTGTTGGTAGGTTGGGTTCGGTGTTGGTGTTGCTGTTGGTAGTTGGTGTCTGGTTGTTGTTGCTTGTATGTTGTTGTTGTTGTTGTTGTTGTTTGTTATGTTGTTGTTGTTGTGATTGTTGTTGTTGTTGTTTTGTTGTTGTTGATTGTTGTTGTTGTTGTTGGTTGTTGCTTGTTGTGTTGTTGTTGTTGTTGTTGTTAGGTTGTTGTTGTTGTTGCTTGTTGTTTGTTTGTTGTTTGTTGTTAGTTGTTGTTGTTAGTTGTTGATATGTCTGTTGATTGGTGTTTATGTTGGTGTTGCGTGTTCGGTGTTGGTGTTTGGATGTTTGGTGTTGTAGTTGGTGGTTGGTGTGGTGTTGTGTTGGTGTTGGTGTTGGTGGTTGGTGTTGGTGTTGGTCCTGTTGTTTCGTTGGTGTTGACTGATTGGTAGTTGTTGGCTGGTTGGTGTTGGTGTATGTTGGTAGTTGTAGTGTTGGCTGTTGGTGTTGGTGGTAGTGGAGTGTAGGTGGTGGTGGGATATGGTGTTGGTGTTGGTGGTGTGGATGTTGGTGGTGTTGGTGCGGTCTGGTGGTGTTGGAATGGTAGTGATGGTGTTGGTGTTGTTGTTGTTTTGGTGTTGGTGCTTGAGGTGTTGGTGTTTTGTGTTGGTAGTAGTGTTTGGGTGTTTGGTGTTTGGTGTTGTGTTGGGTTGGTGTTGGTGTTTGGTTTTGTGTGTTGGTGTGGTTTGTTGGTGTTGGGTTGTGTTGGTGTTGGTGTTGTGATGGTGTTGGTGTTGTAGATTGGTTGTTGGATGTTGGAATGTTGGTGTTGGTGTTGCGGTTGGTGTTTTCGGTAGGTGGTGTGGTGGTGGTGGTGGTGGGTGGTGTGGTGGTGGATGGATGGTGGTGGTGGTGACCCCTGAAGAAACTTCGTGGTCATCTGTACTGTTTATATTATTGTTACTCCGGTTTGGTTCTTCTTGGGGTCCATTGAAAATATTCATAGCCCCTTGTCTATAGTTTGCCCGACATCTGGTGCTGGATGTGTGCTAGTTGTGGCGTTCCTAACATATCCCCCCCTGGTTCTGAGCACTGCAGCCTGTGTATGAATTCACTATTGATTTGGTGGTAGGGTTTTACATGTATGTGCATATAGAGAAAGGTAAACTTTGAATGAATGCTCACAGTAAAAGCATTGAAACATATCGACATAAAATGAGCAGGAGCAAGTGGCTGACGAAAATTCATCTAGATCAGTTTATTTGCCAAAATGTGAGACAAATGATGCATAGAGTCTATCTAGCAAGTCAGACCTCCCTGTAACTGCAAGAGCAAACTTAACAAAGACGATCCAGCACGCATGCCTTCTAAAAAACTGAAAGATCCATCTAGCGATCCATTTAAAAACATGGATGTTTAGATAATAAAGCAGCAGGCAGGCGCACTAAAAAAGAATTGGGGGCATTGGGAGAGTCTTACTGTCTATTTTACCGAGTACGATGCTTGCTCATTGTTTTGCACCAGAAAACAAGCAAAGTAAGTTGCGACAATGGCAGACAAGCTGCGCTCGCCCAGAGCAGCTAGACACGACTAGTAGAGGATTAGGTGAGTGGAGAGACTCGGCCATTTACTGAGCCGACCGTCTCCAGTCCCCGGGGTACCATTCGGGACTGGGGAGTCCCGGATGGATCCCACACGGCAAAAGGGAGTCCCGGGAATGTGATGTTCCACGGGACAGCCTTTAGTCGTGCAACCAGGGAGGGAGAGGTGGGTTAATCTAATCTAGGTTCTTGCCTTCAGCCCCATCCAGTCCCCTAAAACTGCCTCAGTAGCCTGGCTTAAAGGAACAGGATACTGGACCCATGGAGTCAACCTAGGTGAAGCCATACGACAGGACCCTCTCTACAAGCTCAAGGAGTCCAAGGACAACCAGCAATACCCCATTGAACTGATCTACCAACGAATACAGACAGAGCAGAACAAACGGTGGGACCCAACTGGCACCAACCCCATGGCGGTACATGTACACTGTGCTGAAGAACACTATGACCAAGTGCTCTCCCTTCTCTCCAATATCTATGCCCCAGGACGCCGATCTGGATACCCCCAACACAAGAAACTCCAAGTGGTACCTGACCGCGGATCCCACAAGTACTTGGCCACCCAGGATGCAACACTGGACCAGGTCTTCACCTCCCTGGTAGACAAACAGTTTGTTATAGTTGACAACATCCAAGTCATCTACATCGAGAATGTTGTTGGGAACCCAGGACCCCTCTCACCACAGGACCCATCCACATTGTACCTAGCAGTGACATCTATGGTTGATAGCAACTCCAACAGGCCCAAACAGCCTGTTTTCATTGGCCTCGACCAGTCCACTAAGGATCCATCCATCTGGCTGCTACCTGTCGACAAGTATCGGTATGCTGAAGCCCTAGCCTTGTCTCAGAGGTTTGGACACGCCACGACAAAACACTGGGGACCAAGTGCCTGGAATTGGTTCACACCCTCCTTCAGACAGAAGCAGGAAGATGCCTTCAAGTACAACCCTGAGACAGAAGTGTTTGAAACCAGGGCTGACCGCCACCTGAAACGCCTGGCAAACACCAAACAGTTCAAACGAGAATTTGAGGTGGTGGACAATCTGGATTTTGTTACCGAGTGCCAAATTGCCAGCATCCATTTCAGGGTTCCCGGGGCATTCAGAGAACGCTCTGCTGCAGATGGAGTGGCCCTGGATCCATCAGAGGCATCCTCCATTGGCACCACTGCTGACGGGGACCGTCTAGACATATCCACCCTCAATTCAGGCTTCCAATCAGGTGACTACGCGGCCATGTGGTCTGAAGAAGAAAGTGAAGAGTCAGAATCGATGACACTGGAAGACGAGGAAAACAACGAGGAAGATGAACCACCACAAGATGGACCATCTGTCTTTCTCATGGAAACTGATGCAGATAGGATACACACTGGGGACATGCAAGTCAACCTCAGCCCTGAGGTGGACGCCCTCGTGGAAACAAGATTCAAGATTATATGGGAACGGGTAATTCAACAGGATCAATGGACATTGTGGGAACGAGAGGACAATCTCCTGTACTTGAAGGCCTTCCTCACCCACAAAGTTGGAGGACAGAATTTGGCCGGGGCCACTGCCATCCTGGACCACTTCGAGGCCCACAAGACGCCAGTGCAGACAATCCTTCACCTCACCAGCTGGGAATTGGCCAAGCTCATGTACGTGGAGGGAAGCCAAACCTGCTTCATCCCTATCAGTTCCTCCAAGTACTCCAATGACCTCTATTTCCAAGTCAAAACCCAGATCAATCAATCATGGCTGGGACAACACCCATGCAATCCTAGTCCTGCCACTTTCCCTGGATTCCTACAGCTCTTACCTCTGATGTCCCACTCACAAGGAACCATTGGAGTCAACCTCTGGAACAAGGCCCTCTTTTCCAGACAAGTGTCTGATTTTCAGACCTTCTATAATCATGTCCACACCTGGTGGCTCAACCATATCAATGACACTGCAGACTTTGCATTCACCAAGAGAGTTGTCCAACAAAGGCTGGTGGACAGAACCAAATAGTTGTTGGGGAAAGGATTCATGCCCAATACAGTGAAAAGCATGAATCCACGGGTACAGCAGGAGGCCACTGTCCAGATAGAGCCTCCCATGGGGACCCACCCACCTTCCACCACACACCACACACCACATCACCAACACAGCACACACCACACACCACCCCTACAACAACAGAAAGACCTTGACCCCTTTGACATATTCCTCCAATCCTACACCAGACACCTGCATCAGTCCAACAACACCAGCACCAAACCAACCCAAACTGCTCCACAACCTGGCCCCCCACCTTACACCCACCATACCACCACCGATGACTCCACAGCCAGCAGTGACGAATCCTTCCATTCCTTTGATGTCCCACTTCTGAGTGAAAGATCCACTGACTCAGATGCCACCTAGCTCTCTCACAGCAGCACCATAAAGATAACCCCCCAGTACCCCAACCGTTGCAGGAGCAGCGGAAGAAGACTCGTGTCATTTAAAGTACATTTGAAGATTACTCCTTCCATCCCCTTCTCCACTCCCACTGGCCCAACGGATCCCACAACTGCCCCCACCTCCCTTGGCGCACCTCAACGCCTACCCACCCCACTTGGCGCACCTCAACGCCTACCCACCCTGAGCCGCCCACCAACCCAAATCTTTGTCCAAACCGTTGAATCAGATAGCGAAGATAAATCTACCACTAGCACCATTACACCCCAACAAATACCCCCCAGCCAGTCCAACCCACCTCCCGGCCCACCACAACACAACCATCCCCCACTATTTGTCTCCATCCCCACCAGTAGCACCAGAACCACCACACAAAACCCACCCTGTACCCAAGAGCTCCCACCCAACCCACCCAGGAACTCACACCATCACCCATCCGACAGTGACTCTTTGCGACGGGATACAGCTTACAATTCAGCTTTACAGCTTTACAATTAGCAGGCTTATTCTAGAAAATAATCAATAACTGCTCACTTATTTGGAAATACAAACTTTACATCTCTTAGATCCTTAGATTAATCAATGCACAATGGTATTGTCGCATGGTAGCATGCGAGGTTATGAGATGTTACTCATTCTATTTCTTATATGTCTATCCCCTATGGTTGTCAATGGAATGTGCTACTCCTTGATGCAGATTGCTCCTGATGAGTTTCCTCTTGCATTCTTCATCGGTATCTCTTCCCTTTATTGCAACTCACTTCCCTTGGATTCGCTCGAAAGCAATCCCCTTGTTCTTACTCCGCCTATTGACGATCGTAATCTCAATGAGGATCATCCTATTATCTTGGATTCGCTCAAAAGCAATCCCCTTGTTCTTAATCCTATTGACGATCGTAATCTCAATGAGGATCCTATTATCTCGATCGCTGCAGGAGCCACTACTGGTACTGCTACGGTTACTACTACTGTTATCTCTATCAGCACCGGTAAAGTCCGGCCATTGTCAATGCCTCCCGTGCTCAGCTTCAGCATGGATCGATCGTCGATCGACAGAGTTAACAGAATTCGTCGAAAAATGAGCTCCGTCTGCAATGAAGCTCGGCCTGTGTGTCATGCATTGGGTCATGCTTTGCGAGCAATTTCGCCCTCTTTGCGAGCCATTTCACCCTTTATTATCGGTTTGAATTGGCTGAGTCATGCTTGCATTATGTCTTCGAAGCTTTATCCTCACTTTTTCATTAACTCGACGGAGACGCACACCGACAACGACAACAACAAGAACAACAACAACACGAGCGACCGATCGCTCCGTGTATGTGTGCATGGTCTCTGCTTACCCAGGACTGGCATGAACTGGCTTGCAGTTTCCTGGCTTGCAGTTTGTCGTTTGAAGGATTCAAACACCGGTACGAATTGTACAGAGCGTACGGATACGGATGGTACGAAGCGATCGATCGCTCGCGAGGATGTCGACGTCGTGGTCATACAAACGACCGACTCTCTTGCAGTTGTCATTGGTCTCGGTTTGCTACCTAGGACTGGAATCGGTCGTTCGAACGAAGAAGGAGACTGGCTTGCAGTCGGTCGTTTGAACTCCTGCTCGAATTCCTCTCGCTCGAAGGATCCAACCACTCATAAATTCCATCTTCGATTGACTCGATTGACTGGATATCCACCCAGCTCCTCCTATTGTTGCCGCTCCTGTTGCCGCTCCTCCTGTTGCCGCTCCTCCTATTATTGCCATTGCACTCTTGTTGATTCTCACTTGATGGACCTTGACGACGCTTCCTCTGCCTCAGCATCTTCATCTTCAACAGCAGCGCCAGCATCAGCATCCTTGTTCAGTCCACAGGCTTCAGACAAGCCTTTCTTTGAATCTGATCCAATCATCCCACCATCTGATCCTCCAACCATGACTTCAGCACCATTGACTGCAGTTCAGTTCCAGGAGCTCCTCCAGCACATTGGGAAAACCCAAGAAAAGACCAAGCGG